TGTCTGGCTCAGATTTCCTCTTTGTATGTGACGTGTTGTATTGTACCAAAGGGATGCACTTAGGATCAATTAGTTGATTACAGAAGGAGCTTGTAAAGTTACTGCAGAAAGCTCTGAGTATGTGTGGGCCACAATTAGTCTGTTCCTTTATTAGGAACCACAAATCAGCTTGAAGTACTTAGTCTCTGCCTGTAAACCCTCCTGGCTGTGAGGAGCTGGGGATGAGCCATAGGTAGGTGCTGGATTTTAAGGCTGAAGCTTGAAAAATCATTGTGCTTGTGCATCGCCTGTGCACATTCCCCTTTCACCCCTTTCCCAGCCACGTAGGGATCCTCAGATCTTACCTGGGGTGTTGGTAACCAGCCTTCAGCTTGATTTCCCTTATCCTGAGTAAACACATGCTTTTTTTTGCCTTTCAGTATGTCCAAGCAGATGCTCCTACCAATAAAACACTGGCTGGGCTGGTGGTGCAGCTGCTGCAATTCCAGGAAGATGCCTTTGGAAAACATGTCACCAATCCTGCCTTCACAAAGCTTCCTGTGAGTATTGGGGCTCCCACAGGGGTTCGTTCCTCCTCTGGTGTCAGTGCTGCTGCAGGGGAGCTTCCAGGGCATTGGGAGATCCATACTCCAGCTGAGGAATTTGCTAATGGAAGGGATGGAATAGCACACTCCTTAAAAGCAGATTTTTAATACTTGCTTTGCATATATTTGAAATTATTCCATAGTGCTGTAGGAAGGTTTCTACTAAAATACTCATCAGTTTTAAGTCAAATCTGTCCTGTCCTGGTGCATCCTAAGCTGACAATGAAATGCACTTTCCAAAGCAAACAAGCTTCCATTGGGCATTTCTGGGGAATTGAACTTCAAACATGTCATGCTGCCAAGGCTGAGAAATTTCTTCACCATGTGCTGTAGCAGTGTGGAGTTACCTGGTTAGCCTGGGATAGTTCTCCAGCCCCTTGGGATATTGGTACACAGAAACAATAACATTGTAAGGGTCGATTATTTCAAATTCCATCTTGGAACACTGCCCAGCACCCAGAGGGTCTTGTCCCAGGGAGGGTGAGGTCTAAACAGAGCAGAGAGGAATGCAGCAAAGGGAAGGACAAAGGAACACTGTTTTCCGTAGTCAGTTCTGGACCAAGATGATTAAAGGGATATGGAGCACCTCTCCTACAAGGGAAGGCTGGGAGAACTGGGATTGTTCAGCCTGGAGGAGAAAAGCTTCAGGTTGACCTGACTCTGGCCTTCCAATGCCTGAAGGAGTCTACAAGAAAGATAGAGTGAGACTATTTACGAGGGCCTGGAGGGACAGGGCAGAGGGAATGGCTTCCTACCGTCAGAGGGCAGGGATAGGTGGGATATTGCGAAGGAGTATCCCAACCTGTGAGGTTGCTGAGACACTGGCACAGGCTGCCCAGAGAAGCTGTGGCTGTTCTATCCCTGGAATTGTTCCAGGCCAGGTTGGATGGGGCTTGGAGCAACCTGGTCTAGTGGAAGGGTTCCCTGCCCATGGCACAGAACTGGATAACACTTAAGATCCTTCCAACTCATTCCATGATTCTATGAATCTCTTGATGCTTTGGAGTGCATCCGGAAGCACCTGGAGGTGCTGTTAAGGTTGATTTCACCACCTCAGCTGTTCTGATCTGATACTTCAGTGATAATGAAAAGCTTCAGGGGCAGAGGGGAACACTGCAGTGCTTTATTTTGATGTGGCAGCATAAAACTCTGCCCACATTCAACAAGTGGATAAACCACCTAAGTGCTCACAGGTCTTAAGTCAATTTGTCTTATCATACAAATGGGCAATAAAGATTGCAGTGGCATCATAAAGATGGTGTTCCTGTGTTTGTTCTTGCTGTTTCGAAGGTCTGAGCTGGTCAGATCTGCTCAGCTTAATACAGCAGTTGAATCTCTGTGCTCTCAGATGTTTCTACCAGGAGACAACTCATGAGTCCATCTCCCTTTGGGTTGTTGTCATGAGAAAATGCAGTGATTACTCCAGATTAGGTTAGAGGTTGCTTTTTTAGACATATAATTTAAGATCCTGGTTCAGGCTACGAAGGAGCTGTTATTATTCTACCATGGCACTTTGAAGATGTGCAGAACGCTTGAGTTGTGCAGGACTGTGTGGGACTTAAGGAGGACAGGTAAGGGAAAGGGAGAACTTCAGTGGCATTGCTGAAAGCTGTTCCAGAATTCCATGGAAAAGGAACCAAATGAAGCACTCAAGAAACAACTGGAGGTGGCAATTAGCACTCTGGTCTAGTTGGTAAGGTGGTGATCACGAATTGGACTTGATGGTCTAGGAGGTCTTTTCCAGCCTCAGTGATTATGTGATTGCCTTGTTATGATGGATTTTTCAGTGCATTTAATTGTTAACATCAATTCCCTCTATGCCACTGGCAACAATCACAGTTTATTGGTTTTGCTGGAGTGCATCAACACTTTAAAAAGTAACTTCTGTCTGTGGAAGAGATTTGTACACTGGTTTTCATGGTCAGTTCTGGACCAAGGTGATGAGAGGGATGGAGCTATGAGGAAAGTCTAAGAGAGTTGGGATGGTTCAGCCTGGAGAAGAAAAGGCTCTGGGGAGACCTTAAAGGCCCTTCCAGTGCCTGAAGGAGCCTAAAAGAAAGATGGAGGGAGACTATTTACAAGGGTCTGAAGGGACAGAACAAGGGGGAATGGCTTCCTACTGTCAGAGGGCAGGGATAGGTGGGATATTGCAAAGGAGTATCCCAACCTGTGAGATTGGTGAGATACTGGCACAGGTTGCCCAGAGCAGCTGTGTCTGCGCCTTCCCTGGAAGTATTCCAGGCCAGGTTGGATGGGGCTTGGAGCAACCTGGTCTGGTGGAAGGTGTCCCTGCCCATGGCAGGGGGTGGGACTAAATGGTCTTTTAAGGTCCTCCCAACCCAAACCAGTCTATGATCTGTAGGACAGCTGAAAATAAGCAACAATAACCTGCATTCTTGTGCTGCAAAAATACTCTTCACAATGAGTGTTTGTAAACCAACAGTCACGTTCTCACAGCCAAGTCTTACATCAGTAAAACCATGTGCATGTTAAAACTTTTTCATTTAGTTCAAACTCTTGATCAGGGTCAGCTTCTTCCATAGAGGACTGGAGTTTGCTAAGAATAGCCCTGAAATCAGCTCTGACCTGTGGAGAACATGTGTGGCAGCTGAGCTGGCTTAGTGCTCAGCAGGGCTCCAACAGATGGCAGAGCAGGAGCAGTTCTGCTCTTGTTGAAGGCTTGTGAAGGCTCTTTTTTATGTTGTTCTGGGACACTGGTGTGTTTGATACCTCACAGAGCTGGTTTGCTTTCCATGAGCTGCTCCAGAGCCAAGGAAAGGGATGTTGGGTTAGAGCCCATCATTCAGCTGCCTGACTGCAGAGTGGGTTTAAGGTGCTTGTCAGCAGTGCTGGCTGTGATTTGGTGTTCTTTTGGTGTTAGCAGATACTCCTGAGGTGTAACTTGGTAGACTAGAAAGGAAATGATCTGCTCTAATATAAAATCAGAGAGAAAACAGGCTGGGAGAACTGGGGTGTTCACCTGGAGAAGAGAAGGCTCTAGAGAGAACTTAGTGCCTAAAGCTGCCCCAAGAGAGCTGGAGAGGGACTTGGGACAAGGGCCTGGAGGGACAGGACACAGGGAATGACTTCCCCCTGCCACAGGGTAGGGCTACATGAGATATTGGGAAGGAATTGTTGGCTGTGAGGGTGGTGAGGCCCTGGCACAGGTTGCCCAGAGAAGCTGTGGCTGCCCCATCCCTGGAAGTGTTTCAGGCCAGGTTGAACAGGGCTTGGAGCAGCCTGGGCTAGTAGAAGATGTCCCTGGCCATGGCAGGGCATAGAACAGGATGGGCTTTAGGGTCCTTCCCACCCAAACCATTAAGTGGTTCTATGATCTGAATGTTCCAAATGTAGGAAAACTCCCAGGGATGCTGTTGGCTGTGAGGTGTATCCAGCTTTGGGCTCTCTCCTCACAGCAGAAGACAGCCTGCAGGAGGCCCCTGGTAACCAGAGCTCAGCCATTAAACAGCTCCCCAAATTCTGGTCTGTGACTTGTACAAGTGTTTTATATTTCTTGAGAAACACCAAATAGACCAATCTAGAAATGATCCTGGTGTTGCATTTCTCTGCTTCTACCTTCAGCTGGGCCACCCATGTCTTCCCTTTCCAAGATGACTTTGACAGCATCTTAGTCTTCCTGGTCACAAACATCCTGACCAGAGAGATGAGGAAAACAGCAAAGATAATTCCGAACTGAAATCTGTCAGAAAAACATGGACCTTTTTGTGCCTGAACAATCTTTTCCAGTAGCCTTTTGGGGAGAGGTCATGGTGAGACTCTTAGAGTGCTCCTGTTTCAGGTTCAGCTGTGGAATTCCTTGTGCCTGTTTGGAAATAGGTGACTCAACTGTGCTCTGCTAAGGCTGAGAGTGAAGAAATGAGCTGGATTTGGTATTTTAGGACAGATCTGCACAGTGACCTTTGCAGCTCTTGACCAACAGCTCTTGGTGGTGGCAGAGGGATGTGAATGAAGCCTTAGGAGCTTTGTGAAGGTGAAATACCTCAACCTCCTCTTCAGATGTTCATTCCTAATGATTTGGTTTGATGTGCTTCACACAGATGAAGAGATTCTTCACTGACAGCTGCAATTTTAAGTCTAATTTGCTATAAAATGGGTGTTCAAAGAGCAGTGTGGATTTTTGCGAGTTACTCATTTAAGGAAGGACTAGGAGCCTTTAGATTTGTCAAGTTGTGCTTGCAAATACCAAGAACTCTGCTTAAACCAGATGCATTTATTCTTCTCGAAACTTCCTGAAAGGAGAACCTGAAGCTCTGAAACAGATTCATGTGGAAATTAGTGATGTGATAAGTTAGGTGTCCAAAGCAGCTGATGGGTCTGCATTTGTTTAAAATAATGCCATGAGTCAATGTCACTGTGTTTTCCCTTTGGTTTTTTTGGTTCTAGGCAAAGTGCTTCATGGATTTCAAAGCTGGAGGTACATTATGTCACATTCTTGGTGCTGCGTACAAATATAAGAATGAACAGGGCTGGTAAGTTGTCACTGGTGATTTACACACCTTTTGCATGAAATCAGCACATGAATTGCTTATGCAAACTACAAGTTTAATACTTCCTGGAGAATCTGTGTAGGCAAGGGAGTGGAGATGGGAAGAGGGAATTTTCTCCTGGTTTGCTGATGGTAGCATTTGAAAGACACACCCCACACTTCTATATTTAAAGAGAATTTGGCCGACTTTGAGTTTTGGATTCTGGAGTTGGGAGTTAATTACAAGCTTGAGGCTCTTTTTTTGGCATTTCCTCACTGTATGGCAGCAAATTAACCAGAACTGATGTAGGACATAAATCTCTGTTACTGTATTGATTATAGAGTTTAATTATAATTGGGGAAACATGAAGCATCGCATAGATTCTTGTAAGTGCTCAGTTTGCCATTGTTTATCACCTCCATAAATGGGGAGTGTAAGCACTTAGGAACTGCCCCTGGAGAAGAATACCCATGTGACATCCCAACAGTGTTTTAACCTGTTTGTTTTTAGGTTATGATCCTCTTTCCAAGAGGGCAATAGCATAGAATCATAAAATCATGGAATGGCTTGGGTTGGAAGGATCTCAAAGCCCATCCAATCCCACCCCCTGCCATGGGCAGGGACACCTCCCACTAGCCCAGATTGGTCCAAGCCCCATCCAACCTGACCTTGAAATAACTATATTTGAGAAAATTGGGAAAAAAATGAGGATCTGAAGTCAATAAATGTAAATAAATCAATGAAAGTAAGCAGAGATTGTTCCTGTGTATGAATTTAAATAGTTCTAATCTGATCCTGGAGTTGGCTGTGTTGCTGTGTAGAGCCACTTAAAAGGCAAAATTGAATGGCTGATTGTTTCTAGGAGTTGGATATACTCCTGTCAGCTCTATCTGGGGTGGAGATGAGGAGTGAGCTGCTGTTAGGTGTTTTCCTACTCCGATATTGCCAACCCCTGGGACATGATGCCTGTGAGTGGTGTGTCAGGAGTGTCTTGCTATCTCTTTGCCTTAAGATAAAGGAACTGAATGGCTTCTACTTCATGAATTTTTAAATATTCTTTACCAAATTGTCAGTCACTGAGGTTTGCCAGCAAAGCTGAGCTCTGTGGTTGCCTCCTCTCTTCTCCCTCCCTTGCTGCTGCCTCAGAACTAGCGTGGGTAGTGCCTTGTGTTTGTGCATGTGGGATGTAGAGGGAAGTAATCCTGGAATTTAACTCTGAGGATCAGACTTAGAGCTTGGAATGTGTCCTTCACTGACTCAACCAAAATAATATGTGGTGTTTTGCCTGAAATATGATTTTTTTGATTTTATTTTTTTCAATGGTCTGCATTGTGGCTCTTGCTTAACCTGTTTGTGAATGATCTGTCTTATAGGAGAAGTTCCTTTCCTCGTCATAATAGGTATGTCTGACAGCTGGACATACCTTGTCCCTCACTGCAATCCAAGCAGCTGTTTGCTAGATCCTGGCAGAGGGAATCACTTAAACTAAGGACAGGAAGATTTAGTGCTATTTTTGATGGGTAGCTAAAACAGTGCTATTAATTAAGATGTTGAAATGCTTCTCTTAAGTGTGGATGTGAAAAGCAGGAAATTGGGGGCACATTTAGCATTGAATGAATGCATAGTGCAGGTTTTAAGCAACCGATGTGAAAGTCTGAGACAAACTTCCATGCCTTGAGTGGCTTTGTCTTATGAGTACCAAGAGTTCAGTAGGTGTTCGTGTTTATTTGACATTTATCTCCCTTCACTTCCATGAGACCATTCTGTATGTTTTGGATACAGACCATGGCTGAGTACTGGATAAGTGGTTCAATCTTGACTCCTAAAAATCCTCAATAAGAGCTGTAAAATGCTCTGTTAAATTGTGTTGTGCCATGACGTGACAGCCTTGGTGTCTGGCCCTACTCCTTCCAAGTCAGTGTGAACTTTAGCATGCACAGTGCTCTCTAAAGAGGTTATAAATCCCTTTAAAAACAGATAATTCTAAGAAATATGTCAAGATATTATGTTTAATGTATTTACCATGTCCTTAGTGGGAAGGGAAGGGTCCTTAATTCTGTTTTAGGACACAAATAAATCAACGCTCACTGCTAGTGGATATTTCTGGAGCTGCCCAACACCTCAGCATGGGCAACTTCCTTCTGAAGCCCCAGAGAGCCTCAAGTGGAGAAGAAACTGGTGGTCTGAGCTCAAGTTTCTTTGATTAATTTAGTGGTGTCATTGCTGTGCTGCCAACCTGGTGTGGTAATGGGGTGTGGGGCTAAAGATCAATCTTGCTTTTGCTTACCTTCATTATTAACTGCAAATGGATTTGTACTGGAAACAAGGATGTGTTTGTAAGAAACTGTAATAAGGTCTGGAATGAACTGGTGTGGCTTAAGCTGAGGTGTTAACCTGAAGCCTGTGAGTCACTGCATGGTAAGGCTGTGCATGGCTTTTTCACTGTGGTAAGTGTGCAGGTGCTTTGATTTCACACACTGAGATCCCTCCTGAGCACCACCTCACACTCCAGTGAGTGTTCCCAAACCTGGGAGTTGTTGAAGTGCACCAGGTCATGTTTGACATCTAAGACTCACCAACTCGATTACCTAAACACATCCTGGTGCTTTGGAAAAGGCTGGATTGTGAAGAGTCAATCCCAGATCTGTTCAGCCCTGCTGACCTGGCTGATGGTGCTGAGTCCTGGAGGTAGTGCTGATGTTGTCCCACCTTTCAGGTTCTTGGGGATCACCACTCAAATTCTTCATTTGAGTTGATTCACCCATGACTTTTGAACACATGCACAGTTCAGGTGGGTACAGCAGAATGACTTTGGGAGCTCTTGTGGTGCTCTCCAGTAGAAATGCACAGATTTTGTGTTATCCTTCCATTTATATAGACAAATCTCCATTGTTATTGCAACAATTTTGATTATTTGTCCATGAAATATCAAATTTTAAGTGCGAGAGTTCAATCAAAGTGATGATAAAGTGCCTACATGGGTTATTAGCTCCCTGTGTGCTGGGAGTGATTTGTTCTCACATCAGGCAGAGGAGCTGCTGTTTTTCCTGGATTCCCAGGGCTGATGGATGGGTGCAACTAGAAGTAAGAGAAACCTAAGAGCTTGTTCATGACTTTTCTCATCTAGTTGTTGAAATCCATCGTGGTTGTCTGTCAAATTATCCTTTGTGACTGTGGTGGAATGCACAGCCCTGCTAGAGGATTTTGTTGGGCAATGTCAACCTTCCTTTTCCCCCTAAACATCTCACAAATCAGCTTCCTTTTGTTGATTTGGTTCATTGTGGTTTTTCTTGCTCGTGAGGGCTGTCAAATGGAGCAGAAATACTTGTGGTTGTGCTTTGAGTGTTCCTCTGTTGCTGCCATGACACACTGTTCATGTGGGACGTGGAAGATTCTTGGCTGTTGAATGTGAGGAGTTGAATTTAACATTTTTGAATCATTTCCCTTCCCAGGAGGAGGTTTGACCTGCAGAATCCATCCCGGATGGACCGGAATGTGGAGATGTTCATGAACATTGAGAAAACACTAGTGCAGGTAAGAAACTCTTACCCAAAACTGTGCTTATGTGCTCATGGGGAGACCTACCACCTCAGGGAAGAGTTGAGTCCTGGACTTCTGTAGGAATATTGGACTCTTCCCTCCCTTTCCCACCCATTTTAGTCATAATTCCATATTATCACTTGAAAATCTGAGTATTTTCATTAATACTCTGTGGATGTGCAGAGGGCTGCAAAAACCTGTTGTGAGGGAAAACCTGCTGTAAGGTAGGAGTGTCCCCATGTTCCTGTGGAGGTGGCACCCTTGGGATTGAGTAACTGGTTCTGTACTCACCTGTTCCGTTGCTGACTTGCTGGGGACTTTGTTTGATCTAAATTGGACTTTTTTCAGGTTAAGGTCCATTTTAGAGTCTCCCTTTTATTAAACAAGTTGTTACCTCTATCTATTAAGCAGCTGTGTGGAGTCTAATTTGAAGTTAAATTATTTTAAGTGCTGCACGGGAGTAATATATTATTTTTTTTCCCCACTCTGAAGCCAAGCTCAGTGTGTGATATAGCCCAGATGTGATTTTCAGGTGCTTGTTAGAAATGGAAATAGGAGATAGGACAGAAAAAGCAGCAATGCTCTTGTTATAAAGCCCTCTTGCCATTGTCTAGTGGCTTCAATGCATAATAAAAATTAAAATTCCAAGTGAAATTAACGTATACCTGTGAGTGCTGTAGGAGTGAGTGAATTTGCATGGCAGTGCAGCAGGACAGATTCTACACTGGAAGTTGGTGCTCGGGGGACTTTAAGTTCCCTTTGAAGTGAAATCTCCCACAGCTTCTCAAAAATTCTTTGGCATCCAAGATGTGGTTTCTGTTAGAGATGTGAAAGCAGGAAGATGCAACAGCCATGTTGCGTGACAGTCCCTGATCTGTGGGCACGTGTCTAATGGAGCTCACAGCACATCAGCGGGGGCTAGACAGAATCCCTGGATTCTGGTGGGAGATCTGAGAAGTGTATATTGCTGTCTTGGGAGTTCCTGGGGTTGGAATTGTTGTGCTCCACCATCAGCTGCTCCTTTTGATTTCCAAACCTTGGTGATCTGAACAGGAATATTGTGATTTGTCACAGATCACCTAATTCTTACTCAACTTTTGTTTTCTGCCCCAGAACAACTGTCTGAGCAGACCAACCATCTACCTCATTCCTGACATTGAGCTGAAGTTGGCCAATAAGTTGAAGGACATTGTCAAACGTCACCAGGTAACTGCCGAACAGCAGATCTTGAACCATGTTTGTCAGCTGTGAGGGAAAACCTCTTCGCCTGAGTTCAGGGCTTCAGTTATATCTGGAGTTGTCTGACTACATGAGGAAGCAGCAGGTCACTTGTAAAATGCTATTAGTTGTCATCCTCACATGGAAATTGAATCCTAACTCTGCTCTAGATGAGAATCTGGAGCTGCAGTTGAAGTGGTCAGGTGGGTGCAGGTCTCAGCCCATTTTTTGTTCAGTACCTGCTTAGAGAAAGGAGAAGTTTGTCCAAATGTGAGGTTGAAGAAGGTTGTGTCTGATAGAGCTGTTCCAGGTGTGTGATACAGCTGTCCCCAGATAGCTGGGGACAGCATGAGGATGTAGAAATTATACCTGGGTTTTGCTGTATTTTACTTTTCTGTTGCTGGTGCTGAGCAGAACACGAGCAGCATTCAGTAGTCTGTGTATTTCTGTGAGAGCCAACATCTTGCCATCGTAATTTGAGGTAGTAAATGATGACCTGAACAAGATCATTAGCTTAATTTGTTCAAAATGTTAAGTCTTGAGAGAAATACCCTGAAATATAACCTCTGGGTGGTCTGATGGCCTTTTGTGTCAGGATAATTCACAGCTGGAGCCAAAGCAAGATATTTCCTGTGTTGTGTTGTGAACTTTTGTCTCAGCCTCAGTTGTGGAAGTTTTTGCAAGTTACTCTTAGTTATTCAGCTGATTCAAGGTAGTTGTTACTGCCTAATTTAGAGTTAATGAGTCGGTTTTCCTTTCATAAAGGAATTCCATAGTGCACTCGCAGCATGCTGTATCCATGAGTGATTTAAAGGGTTTTTAAAGCAGGCAGCTTTGTCCCTAGAGGAATGTGAAGGCTGAAAACAGAAACTGTCCTGAATTCTGCTTTTTGGGCCTTTTTCTTTTGCTCTACCTCTGAATTCTCATCTAGTTTCTAACTTTATTACTTACTACCTTGATTATTTTCATTTATTTAACCTGCTGCTGTCACGTCTCCCCTACCACACCCCCATGCTCCCTGACATCCCAAATCCTCTCTGCTCTGACACAGCCAGTGCAGAGGAGTTCCATGCCCCTTGTTGCAGCACAGTGCCACTGTCATCTCTGAGGTTTCAGGTAGAGGTGTCACTAAGATGTTTTTCCTCCCTGCTCATGAAGGTGCTGTTACTATTCCTGGTAGTTACAGTTGGTCTGGTTTTCCTTAAAAATGTTGAGCATTCTTCTGAAAGAGCCATAATAAGGATTTAAGAACTAGAAAGCAGGTCCTGAGTGAGATTTAGCATTTATATGTCTGTTGGAGGACAATGTTCTGTTGCTAGAGAACTCTTCTGTGTTGTTATATTTCCAGCTTCCAGGCATTCTGGGTTTAGCAGAGACAGGGAATAGTCCTTATAATCCACTTACACCTTTCAGAAACCTCTTTAAATGTATTATCCACCCCTTTGTTTTCAGACAAGATAGCCAGGAATCCAGGAGTTACCCTGACGATCCTTGTGGGCCCCTTGCAACACCACGATTCAATGACAGCATCCAAGAGAGACTTCCTTTTCTTTTGTTGTGCTTTGGGGCTTTTAAAGCACCATAGGGAATAGATGAAACTTACTGATCTGGTTCACAAAGCTCAGATTAAGGATCTCCAAGAGCATCTTCAGCTCATGGGGAATGAAGGGAGAATTTCCATCCTTGTTTGCCAAACACTTTGGTAGTTCTTCATTCATGCCAGGTCTATTTATTCACTTTCTTGCTTTCCAGCTCTGTTTTGCTGTTGCTCAGAGCTCCTTCTTTCCCTTTCCCAGTTCTAGGGGCTCTTGGAGTAGGAACTCTGGCCCTTGAAACCAGAGTATCTCCAGATATCACTACCACAGTTCAGTGCAGCTTCATGCTTTTAATTTCCCACCTCTTTGTGCTGCCATCCAAGGGAGCTGTTTGCAGATTGTTCGCTGGAACCTCTCCCACCTGCTCTTAAATAAATCTGTCCCATATTTAGGGAATGTGAGGTCTGAATAACATTTTCATACAAACTGTTCCGAAACACAACTCCTCTGCAGACTGTGTGTTTCTGCTCTTTGGGAGCGACTCATCCTGTATGGAGATTGGAGGTTGTCTGCAGCATGTGGGAGAATCCCTCTGGCTCTCCATGTGAGGGAGGGACAGGGCTGGCCTCACAAAGCAGTGTTGGGTATTGATTTCACAGTATTTTGCATGATGATGTAGGTTCAACAGGAGTATAATTGTGGCATGTGGAGAAATTCCTTATGTACCACTGCTCGTAGCATCTATTGAAGTGTCCTAGTGGGAAAAAACCCTGAAGGTGTTGGTGACAGTGGCTGGACATGAGCCCAGGGTGCCTGGGTGGCAAATGGCACCTGGTTTGTACCAGCCCCAGGGCAGTGCCTGTCTTCTGTGCTGACACTGCTGAGGCACCTCCAGTCCTGGGGCAGTTCTGGGCCCCTCAGGACAAGAAGGACATTGAGGGGCTGGAGCGTGTCCAGGGAAGGGAATGGAGGTGGGGAAGGGTCTGAAGCACCAGGAGGGGCTTCAGGGGAGCTCAGTCTGGAGGAAAGGAGGCTCAGGGAGACCTTTTGGCTCCCTCCAACTCCCTGACAGGAGGTGCAGCCAGGTGGGGGTTCAGGCTCTGCTCCCAGGGAGCAAGGGACAGGACGAGAAGAAACAGCCTCAAGCTGTGCCAGGGGAGGTTCAGTTTGGATATCAAGAGGAATTTCTTCCTGGAAGGGGCTGTCAGGCATTGGAAAGGGCTGTCCAGGGAGGTGGTGGAGTCAGCCTCTCTGAGGTGTTCAAGGAATGACTAGAGGTGTCACACAGGGCTCTGGTCTAGTTGGCGAGGTGTTGATGTGTCACAGGTTGGACTTAATGGTCTTCGAGGTCTTTGCCAGGCGCAGTGATTTTGTGATCTGCATAAGCATGAGAAGTGCTTCTGTTGCTTCTCTGACATTCTAAACAGGCAAGAAGATGAATCATTCTTGTGTTTGAGTATTTGACACCGTAGTGTCATGTTAGTGTATTTCTGTTTTATTCCTTTTGTTCCATGTCTTAAGAAGCTTTTTGAAAGACAAGGTGTTTATTCTTCCTTGCCTGAAGACTCAGAATGTTCTAGTCAAGGCAGCCATTACTAGTTCAGGTTCTCATAGACTTTTTCTGACCTAAATTGTCATACTTAAAAGTTGTTTTAACCCAAAATGTGGACTTAAATTTACAGAGCTTTCTTACAAAGTATTCACCAACAGTTTGTATGGACTGATGGACAGTTTACCCTGAGAACTGGGGCAGAGGGAACAAGGAGGAGGAAAATTTGGGATGAAAAAAGAAAAAGATGACAGTAGTTGGGCAGCAGACTTTAAATAATTACGTTTTTCTGGCACTTTTTGGAGGTGTTTATTGTTGCATTGAAGTTGACCTTGATTATTTTCGAGGCTGTTGGATGTGGGTAAAAAGGAGCAGCCAAGACATTTGGGGTGATATGTTGAAAGTATCTCATGTAGTTTCTTCTTTTCTTCCACCTTTCCCACAGGGAACAGTAACTGAAGAGAAATCTAAGGCTACCCACCATGTTTATCCAAGTCCTACCTCAATGGATGATGGTAAAGTTGCTTTTCAGTTTTTAAGTGGGTATAGTCTTGTAGCTTAATTCTGTGAGTTAATGGGAGTGTTCACACAGACTCAGTGTCTTCCCAGGCTGTTCGTGGGAGCCCTTGGAAGAGTGTTTCTAGGATTAACAGCTCCAGATAAGATCACTGTGTCCTGCATCAAACTATTGGGTGTAACATTCACATTTTTAATGGGTGCAGCATTTTCAGGTGTGTTACACTGAGACTCTTAAGTGGATGTGTTGGAAATTGAGACATTATTTAGTGCTGAATACAGCTAACCATGCTGTTTATCTCAAATAATTTGCAGGCTGAAGGGGAGAAAAGCAAAGGGCCTGTAAGAACCTAAAGAAATACTCTTTGATTAAAAATAAAGGACGCTGACAGTTGAGGCTTAAAGATAAAGTTTCCATGAGTTTTTTCCCATGTGTTGCTTCTGTGATGGCCCCAGTGTGTAGGTTTAGGTCAGAATGTTGAGTGAGGTATGATTAGGAATTAATTGGATGCGTGAAAGGGAGGAGCTCAAGTATTTGGGGATGGAAAAACTGCCCCTCATGACAAGAAGGACATTGAGGGCCTGAGCGTGTTCAGGGAAGGGAATGGAGCTGGGGAAGGGACTAAAGCAGCTGAGGGGGCTCAGCCTGGAGAAAAGGAAGCTCAGGGTTACCTTTTGGCTCTCTCCAACTCCTTGACAGGAGGTGCAGCCAGGTGGGGTTCAGGCTCTGCTCCCAGGGAACAAGAGACAGGACTAGAGGAAACAGTCTTAAGCTGTGCCAGGAGAGGTTCAGGTTGGATATTGGAAATATTCGTTCTGGAAAGGGCTGTCCAGCCCTGGCACAGACTGCCCAGGGCAGGGGTGGAGTCACCAACCCTGGAGGGATTTAACATCCATGTGGATGTTGGGGGCATGGTTAGTGGTGGCCTTGGCAGTGCTCGGGGACAGTTGGATTCAGTGGTCTCTGAGGCTTTTCCAACCTCATTGATTCCATGATTGTGTGTTCCTGTCTGTGCAGGAATTCTTTTGGGAATGCTGATACACATCATTGTGTGTTGTTGGCAAGGTGGATGCAGTAACAGGTAGAGGTGGTTGTCTGCATTATAGCTTACTCAGCCTCTATATGAAGTACTCATGACCCACAGAAGCCACTGAACAGCTGCATCCATCAGCAAATAGCAAAAAATTGCTCTAATTTTTTAAATCTTAAATGCCTTTAATTGTCTGATGGCTCATTGTTGTGGAGTCTGAGTTTCACAAACATAAAGCCCTTTTTCCCTACTCCCTGGCCTGTGCTGGCCACTAGATGGAAGCGCTCGCTGCTGTTTGCAGGGATCAGGGATTGTTTGTCCTCTGGAGCTTGTCTGTGCTCTGTACTTCTGGCAGCACCATGCCCAGCCACAGGTTTGTGCTGATCTTTAGCCACTTCACATTCTCAGAAAAGGCTTGAGCAGGGTATGTCAGAGCTTGCAGAGCTCTGAACCCCTGGTTGCACTGCCATGAGGAAAGAGCCATAAGTTCCAGCAGGGATTTATAGATACAGGTTCACATTCTAAGGATGTCTCCTTTAATGCTGCTCTGGGCTGTATTGTTGATATTTGGGTTGTTACTTGAGTGCTGCCTCCAGCTCTGAGGTCTCGAGCACAGGACATGGATCTGCTGGAGTGAGTCCAAAGGAGGCCATGGGGATGATTAGAGGGATGAAGCTATGAGGAAAGATTGTGAGAGTTGAGATTCTTCAGCCCACAGAAGAGAAGGCTCTGGAGAGACTTGAGAGCCCCTTCCAATGCCTCAAGGGGCCTAAAAGAGAGTTGCAGAGGGACTTGGGACAAGAGCTTGGAGGAACAGGACGCAGGGAATGGCTTCCCACTGCCAGAGGGCAGGGAGAGATGGGATACTGGGAAGGAATTCTTGGCTGTAAGATGGTGAGGCACTGGCACAGTTTTCCCAGAGAAGCTGTGGCTGCCCCATCCCTGGAAGTGTTCCAGGCAAGACTGGGATGGGGCTTGGAGCAACCTGATTTAGTGGAAAGTGTCCCTGCCCATGGCAGGGGGTGGGACTGGATGATCTTGAAGATCCTTCCAACCCAAACTGTTCTGGAATTCTATGACGTTGTTTAAAGGAAAAAAGACCTTGAAAACCCCAGTCAGAATGAGTAAATGCCTCACAGCAAAATCAAAGTGTTGGTGCAGCTCACTAAGTCTGTAGTAGCTCTCGCTGCTCTGACAGAAGAAAACTTCAAGCTTTGTTTGACTCTTGGAAATTTTTATATATCTGTGTCACCACCAATGCCCTGACATCGTTCCTTCAGAGCTGTTGTTTTGGGTTGTTTTTTCATTGTATACTTGTTGAGACTAGAATTTAGTTCCGGAATGAAGATGTTTGGAAATGGGAGTTATTAAGGCAGGAATTGGAATGTCCAACAAGGATACAGGAAGACACGGGAAATACTTACTGCTTAACCCGGAAGCGTCTGGGAAGTTTAGTCTTTGTTCACACAGAAATTTACTAAAGAGGGAGAGATTGGGACATTTGTCTCTCTCCATGTTATTTCTTGGATATTCAGTCATTACTGCCTGTCCTCATGGAGGATTTGCTCTGTCCCATTCTTGTCCCAACCAGCCAAGGAGTTCAGGACATGAGATAGGGAGAGATGAGCAGGCAGAGGTTAGTGCTTCTACCTGTAAAATTTATTAAATTAAAGTTTTAAAAATATTTTATTCATGTCATATGTGTCATACATCAGAGCATAGCTAGACATGGCAAAGGTGATGCAGGTAAGTGACTGTGCCAGGCCAAGAAAGTTGGGGCTGCTCAGGCTGAAAAAAATAAGGTTGTGTGGAGACCTCATAGCAACCTTCTGGTATGCGAAAGGGCTCTAGGGAAGCTGGAGAGGGATTGGAGTTTTAAAAATATTTTATTCATGTCATATGTGTCATACATCAGAGCATAGCTAGACATGGCAAAGGTGATGCAGGTAAGTGACTGTGCCAGGCCAAGAAAGTTGGGGCTGCTCAGGCTGAAAAAAATAAGGTTGTGTGGAGACCTCATAGCAACCTTCTGGTATGCGAAAGGGCTCTAGGGAAGCTGGAGAGGGATTGGCTGATAGGAACTGCAGTGACAAGGAGCAGAGCAATGGGTATAAATTGAAAGAGGGGAAATTTAGATTAGATATTGGGAAGAGGTTTTTCCTGTGAGGGTGGTGAAACACACAGGCTGCCCAGGGAAGCTGTGGATGCCCCAACCCTGGCAGTGTTCAAAGCCAGGTTGGATGGGACCTTGGGCAACCTGGTCTGGTGGGAGATATCCCTGCCCAGGGCAGGGGCGTGGGACTAGATTGTCTGAGATCCATTCCAACCCCATAATATTCTATGAAACTATAAGACAATGTTACCTGCACCGAGAGACTTTTAGCAGAGGTGTTTTCAGTTACTTTGCACTGACTGTGGAAAGGTGAAATAATGTTCTTTCCCTGATCAGACCTCTTTGCCTTTGCAGATGAATGGTTGAGACCTGTGATGAAAAAAGAGAAGCAGGTGCTGGTGCACTGGGGCTTTTTCCCAGACAGGTAAAAAAGGTGGGGGAGGAAAGTAGACCCCAAGTCTTAGTTGAAGCTTGTTGAAGTCTTGAACTCAATGTCCAGAGCTTGAAAAGACTTAGTCATTGATTTACAGATGAAATATGCACATCCCTTTGTGAGACTGCAGGTGAGTGAGGTGGCAAAGGAGAGTGTTCTGCAGAGCCACAAGTAACAGGTGGCAAATTGATGCAGATTTCAAAGGGTGGAGTGAGTCTTTCCTGTAGACTTTCAGGAAGGACTTCAGATCACTTGTTTAAGCTTTGACAGAGGGGTTTCACTCCATGGGTTGCCTTCAGTCCAGTGCAAATGACTGTTAAAACATCTGTTTGAGAAGGCTCATGTTACTGGAAGATCTTAAAATGTAGTGTGTGTGCTACCAGTAACTTGAATGCCTTTGCAGTAACTGGTTGCTGAGTTCAGCTTACGGAAGATCCATCAAAACATTGGTAACCCAGCTCTAACTTGGTGTAAAGAACTTTTTGAAGCCACTAATACCTGCTCTGCACACACAGAATTCTCGGGAAGCTTATTTCATATGAGCATTTCAGTGAGCAATAATCACACTGAAGTTTTTCTCTTCATATGGATGCAGAACCTGTAAATATTTATATCAGTAGTCAATTTTGTGTTGTGTGTGTATATTTGTAAATATCAGCATAAACATGAGGAATGCTGTGCACACATAGTACCTTGCTCATGACCTATCTCTCTTAGTGCCTGGTGTTGGTAAGAAAATATTTTGGCTGTTGCTGACTGCAGTTTCTTTGTAAATAGACTTTTGAGGGAATAGCATGTGGAAAAGCGAATGTAAGTGGTTTCTAGAAGAAGAGGCTGCAGACTTCTTCCTTCTAGGAATCACTAGCTCTTGCTTTAAATTCGTAAGAACAGAAGCAAGTGAGTTAACTTCATGCCAAGGCTTGATCAGGTGACTCAGAACTGCCTTTACACCCCTGAATCTCTCCAGATTTGCAGTTTGAAGCTGAGCTGCCTCCACTGAGTTGGTTTTAAGTTCAGGAGTTAATAAGGTGCATTAGGTGCCTTGAGCGCTTCCCTCTGCAGTGTATCTTGTGCCTGTAGCACAAACCAGTGATTATTCCCTATGGAAAACACTCTTTTCTCCCAGCAGATGTGCAAACTGCTGAACAACCATTCCTGCAGGTGATCCTTCTGGCTGAGCAGCCCAAGGGACTCATGTTTGTTCTCTCTTGCTTCCTGTCATTTTAGCTATGACACCTGGGTTCATGCCAATGAAATAGATGCTGAAATTGAGGATCCTCCAATTCCTGAGAAGCCATGGAAGGTAAGTCCCTCTCAGACAGCTTCCTAGAGTTCCTGTGTTGGTGTAGCTCATGCTCAGGTGCTGCTAGACATGTTTAATGTGCTGCTGGGTAGCACTGACTGCATTTCCATGTATATGGAAAAGCAGAGTGATATTTCCAGGGCCTTAATGGAAATGTCTGTCTTTGGTCTGTTGACAAAATACTTAAATTTCTGAGTGAAAAGGACACACTTAACCATCCCTGAGTGTGTCAAAATCACTATGTTAAGAGATATTTTGGTATTTAGACCCCGGTAAAGCTGCAAATATCTCCTTAATCCTGTAAGAAAAAGTCTGCCCTGGCGTTCTTTTCTCACAAAGCATCAGCAAGTGGATCTATTCTGTTCTTTAGGTTCATGCCAAGTGGATTTTGGACACAGATGTGTTCAATGAATGGATGAACGAAGAGGATTATGAGGTAGATGAGAACAGGAAATCAGTGAGTTTTCGCCAGAGAATCTCCATGAAAAATGAAGAGGTGAATGATTGCCTGATAATGGACCTGTGGGTACATTAATGGTTGTTATCTCTGCACAGAGAGCTGGAGGTGTTCACCCTGGAGAAGAGAAGGCTCCAGGGAGATGTTAGAGCCCCTTCCAGTGCCTCAAGGGGCTCCAAGAGAGCTGCAGAGGGACCTGGGACAAGGGCCTGGAGTGACAGGACAAAAGGGAATTGCTTCCCACTGTCAGAGGGCAGAGCTGGGTGGGATACTGGAAGGAATTGTTGACTGTGAGGGTGGTGAGGCATTGGCACAGGTAGCCCAGAGAAGCTGTGGCTGCTCTGTCCCTAGAAGTGTTCCAGGCCAGGCTGGACAGGGCTTGTGGCAACCTGGGCTAGTAGATTATGTTCCTGCCCATGGAACTGAATGGTCTTTAAGGTCCTTCCAGCCCAAACCATTCTGAGATTCTCTGATAAATCACATTTTGGCATTCAAAGTTGCTAAGGTTGAGCTGGTCGAACAGTTGGTGCCTGCAACAGCACAGTCTGATTTAATTCCCTTCTGACACATTATCCAGGGGTACAAGTGTGCACTTGGATTTTTATTTCTCCCCTCTCCTGAGGATGGCAAAAGATAGGAATTCCTAAATGAAGCCAGGGGTGTGTGAGACAATATCAGTTAATATTTGATTCCCAAATTCTCTGCACTTGCAAAGGCTAATTATTGTATCTCTCCTGATGCCAAGTTATTCAGGATTCTGAAAACAGATTCCCCCAACTTTGAAGCCTGGCTGCTCACTGGGAATCTCTCCTAGTGCTGATTGAGATATTATTGCATTTAGCTTCTGTGGTGGGATGGATTAAGGAAGAGTTAAGCCTTCAGCATTGCACTGACCAGTATTTGGGATGAGCTCACTGTTTCTCTTCTCCACCAGCCTGTGAGGAGTCCAGAGAGGAGAGACAGGAAAGCAGCAGCAAGTACAAGGAAGAGAAAACATTCTCCTTCTCCACCTCCCACTCCTGTGGAGTCCAGGAAAAAGTCAGGGAAGAAAGGGTGAGTGTCCACATCATGGGATTTGAGGTGAATTTTCAAGCAGTGCTTATGGGGAGGTCTGTCACCTTTTGCTAGTCTCACCTGAGGTTACAGCGATTATTTCTGTGATGAACTAAAGTGATTTTTCCCTTGAAGTTTGTGTAATTCCTTTATTCCACTGTGGAAATATGTGGGCTGCAGGTGGGGGAGGATCTGCTGCAGGTTGTCCTGTTTGTTGTGTCAGTGATAGGTTCATGGCAGCCTCAAGAGTGGAAATTAATCCAAGGAAAAGTTACTCAACTGCTCCTAAAATAACCCAGCTAGTTGTCATGGTGCACTCAGGGGGAACATTTACGCTTGGAAATGTAGTACAACCCCATAAATTAACTGGGAGGCTATTTATGTAGTAAGTTAAATGGAGAGTAAATTTACATTTATGATTTGCAGGTTTTAATTTATATAGTTTAATCAAGGAGGTTTTTATATAGTCAAGGATTTTGAAGTTCACTTCTCAGATGCAGCTTTAACAGAGAAGATTAGGCCTACAGATTAGGAAGTTTATCAGTGCTAGTTTGGTATCTTAAAGAGAAAAAAAAGTGCCAGTATTCTGGGATTTGTGTGGATATATGGGAGCACTTTTGAGCTAAAAGTTCAGGTCTTGTTGTAGACCTGTTGGTCTCTAATAACTCAAAACTGGAAATTTTTCATCCAGGAAAGAATGAGTTGGTAATCTAGGTTACTTTTCGGTTCCAGATGTGAAGCCTGAGTTAGATGCTGTGAGGAAAGGTGTGGCAGGTGCTACCTTTGTTCCCAAAGTGATTTTCAGAGGAGTTTTAATCCTTCCTTTAATCCTGGGATCTGAACAGCATCCAGATGAGAACATCTGGCAGAGGACTTGTCTTCTCTGTTCTAGGCAAGCAGCTTTGTATGGGAAAAGAAGGGGCCAGAAGGAGGAAGATGAGCAGGAAGATCTTACCAAGGACATGGAGGATCCCACACCAGTACCTAACATAGAAGAAGTGGTACTTCCCAAAAATGGTAAGATATGCAAACACTGGGTCCTTCAGGTGTTAAAAAATGGTTTAAAATGCATTAAAAATACATGTGGATTATGTCAAGCCCTTGAAATACTTTGTGGCCATAGAGCAGGTGATCTGTGCCCATAAATTTGTCTAGTCAGGGATGTGGCAGCTGAGAAGGGCAACAGATTTACCTTCATTTGACCTTTTAAAGTACATTTAAAGTCCAAAAATACATTTACAAAACACACTTTTAAAAATACATTTTCAGAAATGTTCTTAAATGCTTCATTTCACCTATTTTAGCATTTGTTCATGTCTGGGGGGAGGGCATAGAATTATTTTGCTCCAGAAAACTTCAAGATAAGGACATGAAATGAGTGGAAACTCTGCAACATGCCAAGTGCTTTCAGCTCTTAATCCTTTCCAGAGAATGTTGATCTGGGCAATACCTGTTAAGTAAAGATAAGCCAGAAAAATTAATTCCTTCTGTTGAGCTCTTGACACCAAATTACTTGGGGGGTTCACAGCATTTGGGTTTTACTTGGTTTGAAGTTGCATGTTAAGTGTTGGACAGGTGGAAGAGTGCAGAGCTTAGTCCATGGATAGAAGCTGCTTTGTGCTCAGCTGTGAATTCCAGAGGATCAGACAAACAGGCTGTTGTGCTCTGACTGCACACATGAACTCTCCTGACCTGCAGAGAGACAGCCAACAGAGCTATTTGTTGATAAGGCAGTGAAATCGGGCTGGACTGAGATCATTTTGTCTTGTCTGCTGGTCAGTCATCAGCTTCCCTCTCGCTTTTGCAGTGAACCCAAAGAAGGACAGTGAGAACACTCCGGTGAAAGGAGGAACAGTAGCAGACCTGGGTAAAACACACACCCCCTCTCCAGCACCTCCTCCCCAGTGGCAGAGTCAAGTCTCACATGCAGGCACAACAGTCAATAGTTCTAAATCTCTCCATTTTAAAAGCAACCCCTGATTCTCCTGTTGCAGTGAATTAATTCAGTTTTCATATGAATTCGAGCTGAAATGCATTGACCCTTTCAGTTACAAGGCTGTTCCCTTGTAGGCTAGTTTTCCTCTTAGTTTTCCCCTCCTGTTTTAACTCCTTTTTTGACTATTTTGTAGTATGACATACAAACTCTTTCTAGCACAATTTGATTTTTTTTCCCAAGGAATTAAGATGAGTCATAGGTTCCCCGAGCTTCGTTAAGCCTTGACATAAGAGGTATAAACTGGTGTCCCGTATCCTGTTCACAAGGCTCATCTAGGACACTGGGAAAAGTTGATAATTAGGTATTGATTCTGAAGTGTGGAGAAATCATAATTATCCTCTGTGTTCTTACCTGTTCCCTGGGCTGGGGTAGATGAGTGAGAGTCTAATTGCTTAAGTGACATTCCTCATTTCCCTTCCAAATCAAATGGAATGTCCTTTCCAGTTAAGCAGTTGTGTTGCTGGAGGGGCTAATGAGCAGGTGGATTATGTTTATGGGTGTAATTCTCACTACTTTTACCTTTCAGATGAACAAGATGAGGAGACAGTGGCAACTGGAGGAAAGGTAACAACAGCCATTTCTTACTGAATTGAGTAGAAATTGAGATAGCAGAATTCCTAAAGGGTTTGGGATGAAAGGACCTTAAATTAAATTATGAGATTAAATTAGTTACTGATAGGAAAGTGGTTTTTGTGCACAGGATTGAAAAGTACTTGTTTTGGGCTGGCTCTGTGCTGTTTCACAGTTGTTGAGGATGTCTTGCAACCCACTGACCCTTGTGTTCCCTCTGTGCCACAGGAAGATGAAGATCCCAACAAAGGTGATCAAAGTCGATCCATTGATCCAGGTGAAGATAATGTCACAGAACAAACCAACCACATCATCATCCCGAGCTATGCATCTTGGTTTGACTACAACTGGTAAGGAAGAAACTGGGAGTTGGGGGAAGACATTGAGTTTTGCAGGTTTTCTTATCAATCAAGCTAAGAGCTGAAAAAATCCCTTGTTCAGAGCTAGTTCCCATGTGTGGGTACATCTTTGCCATTTAAAAATCATTCTGAGGTGACTTTTGGCTGTTCTCAGGGATTGGGAATGAGGAGAGAATTTCAGGCACCACAGATCTTCAGTCTACCTTGTCAGCAGTTTTTGCTTTACATTGATTTCCCCCCCAAATGGGAAAATAAATCCTCTCATTTCCCTACTTCTCTGTGTTTGCATGTACTCCTGAATTCTGGTGCCTTCTTATTTGGCTTCAGAATTTGACTTTGAGGCTGAGTCGCTGATAATACAGGGAGGATATTTGTTTCAACTTGGAATTCTCCTTGAAGTCAGAGGTTTGTGGTGTACAGTTGACCACACAACTCACTATAGTAACCCTAATGTGCTCTGTATACTCCAAAGTCTCTGGAAGAGCAGCTAGTGCTTGGGATCCCTCTAGAAGTTAAACACCTTGGTAGCACTTTTAAAAGTGCTCTGGAAGCAAAATAAGGAGTTGTCAGTTGTCTGGAAGGTTATTGCTTGAGCATTTTGTCTTGGCTCTGGGAATGGAGCCATTGTTTAGGCTGGAATCTAGAAAGATATGCTATGACACTGGAATACTGGGAGTCATGTGCAACTTCGAAAGGGGTAGGTTGTTGCAGTAGTAAATTCAGATGGGATAGGAACTGTTAGTGAAAGGGTTGGTTCAGTTCCAGCTCTGCCAAACTCTGTTTCTTTGGGTCGGTGACTTGAAACCATCTGGTTTCCCAGCCCCATTGCTCTCTCTCATTCTCTCTAATTTCTGCTTCCAGGACACTCTCCAGAGGGTTCTGGAAGCAGAAATGGATTGAGTTTCCATTGCAGAAATGGAAAATAGGTTGAAGTTATGGCAGTCTCATCCCTGGAAGTGTTCCAGGCCAGGTGGGATGTGGCTTGGAGCAATCTGGGCTAGTGGAATGTGTCCCTGCCTGTGGCAGGGGATGGAAGTGGATGAGCTTTAAGTTCCTTCCAACCTAAATCATTCTATAATTAAGGAAAGCCAAGGATTGCACAGTTTGAATTTATAGGAGCTGCAGTTGCTCTGTGAGCTGAAAAGCTCAATGTGCACCATTGGGTCCATGGTTTTGCTTTGCTCAGTGGCTGAATTTTGTGATGCTTTAATGCAGATTTGCTTATCTGATGAACTAATGATATTCTCCAAGGGTCTTGCAGGAGTCCTTGGGTATCCAAAATATAATAGTAGTAAAATAACCCTTGTTATAATTGTTCTGCCTCAATATATACCTTTGGAGGTGAGCAGAGCCCTCCAGGGGAGTCAGGATTTGGCATCTGACCGATGTATTTCTGTTGCAGTATCCATGTGATCGAGCGCCGTGCACTTCCGGAGTTCTTCAATGGGAAAAACAAGTCCAAGACTCCAGAAATGTAAGTAAAACATATGAATATGGACAATAAGAATGTGGCACGGTGAAGGAGCTTCTAGTTCCATGAATCCTGTGGGCACTTTAGGTGCATGTGAAACTGTTGAGCATAAAAGGACTGAGCACCTGTACAGCCACTGAGAATGTGTATATGTTATTGTAGGAGACATAAAAGCTTAAATATCAAAGTAATAGTTAATAGTGGTTATCCAGGAAAAATAGAACTAGGTCTTCCAACTAATATTGGAACAAATTCTCCAAGTTTGTGTGGCACAAGATGTGATCATCTTCCAAATCCACCTAAAGATGTGATCAGCCTGTAGAAACTGAATAATCCTCCTTGTTCTTCCCTCCCTCTTCCTGCCACGCTGTGGTTTTGAGGCTCAGGAGTTCTGTGTGGCACTGAGCACTGTGTGTTGTAAGATGCTCTGTCAGGCTGTGGAGAGGATTTTGCGGAGTGTTCTGTGATGATTTCACAGTCCTCTGAGCAGCTGATGGGTAATTCTCTGAGTTCAGGTGAGGGTCATGAAATGAATCCTCACAGGCCTGAGGTGTGACTGTGCTCTCAAATTCCAGGGAGTCTGGTTTAAATCACAGAGCTCAGGTTGTGCATGGCAAGAATAAAACTACTTTTTCTCCTCTAGCTGTTCCAAACCCTCTGGTGACACTTTAGTTCTGGCCATGCCTGTTCAGTCCAGGTGGAATTGTGAGTGAATTTAGATCCAGTTTGTATCTGTCTCCTTGTGGGACCTGATTGCTGCACGAGTCAAGTGGTCTTTATTCAAAATTATGCACACACAGATGTCTAAACAGATGAAACACCTCCATGCAGCTGTTTAAAATAATATTTTTAAAAAGCTGATTATTGTCTTGAGGTATTGCTGGTTTTGTCACACATCAAATGATTAAATGCTGATCTGACTGAGCTGATAACAAGATCAGCTGCTGATTTTTGCCTCAAATGCTTGAGAATCCTCTTCAGGCTTGTTCTGTGTATTAATGAAGTTATTTTCCCTTCTCTGAGAGTTTTCTGGCACCATTCAGAGCAATCGTGAGAGCTGGTTGATGAAAGGGGGGTGGCCACTATCAGGCTTGTGAGCAGTGTGCTTGTATCTGCTAAAGTCGTCCTAAAACCTGAGATTTCACACCAAAATCATCATGAATATGGACCACCAGTGTGTGCTTGTCAGCTCCCACAGTACAGCTGGCCTGGTTGTATTCAACTTCTCTTGGTATCAAACCTTGGCCAGTTGCAAAGCAGCTTTTGGGGATTTTAAAAGGTGTTTTTCTCAATTCAGTAGTAAATGAAGTGTTTGAGGTGTCTCCTCAGTATATTGTTGTAATGTCAGCTGAGCCCTGGAGTTCTAATCACAGCATTTCATAGAATCCCAGGAAGGTTTGGGTTCAAAGGGACCTTAAGGATCATCCCTGCCATGGGCAGGGACACCTTCCACTAGACCAGCTTGCTCCAATCCCTGTCCAGACTGGCCTGGATGGAGCATCCACAGCTGCTCTGAGCAACCTGTGCCAGTGTCTCACCACTCTCACAGCCAAGAATTCCTTGCCAGTATCCCATCTCACCCTGCTCTGTGACAGTGGGAAGCCATTCCCCCTTGTCCTGTCCCTCCAGGCCCTTGTCCCAAGTCCCTCTGCAGCTCTCTTGGAGCCCCTTGAGGCACTGGAAGGGGCTCTAAGGTCTTTCTGGAGCCTTTTCTTCTTCAAGGTGAACACCCGCAGCTCTTAAGACTGTTACTGTCCTAGAATCTCCTTGTCTCAGGCATGACTGTTGTTTTGTGAGGCTTCTGACCTAATATCAAGTTAGGAATTAGCAACAGAACTTTTTCTTAGAGACCTTCCAGTATTTGCCCTCTGCACTGGAGGTCACTGGGAGGTTACAGCCAGGTTCATCACTGAGGTGTGTGGCAGGAGAAGAATTATCCACGCTGAAGCACAGCAAATTCTGGCTCGGTATGAGGGAAATTAACTCTGAAGAAGATGAAGCACTGGGTTGGGGCCCTGGAAAGTTGGGATTGTTCCTCCATAGAGTCTTTCAGGCCTTGCTGGACAAAGGCTTAAAAAACCTGGTCAAAATTCAGTGCTGAGTATGTTTTGAGTAGGAGACTGACTTAGACACCTCCTGAGATCTTCAGCACCCTGAATGGTTTTCAGTCTATAGTCTTTACTCACCGCTTCTCTATATGTTTGGGTCGCAGGGGTACCTGTTGCTCCATCACAGAATCCCAGACTGGGTTGGGTTGGGAGGGACCTTAAAGCTCATGTCATTCCACCCTCTGCCATTCCAAAATGGTTCCAAGTCTATTTGACATTAACTCTGTCCCATCAGTTTTACTCTTCAGCAGATTGGTTTGGGGCTTCTAGGACTTGGTGTCTAAGACAGCAAACAGATGGAATTGTGAAGGAATGCTTAGCTTTTGTATTTCCCACCCATGTGGTCATCACGTGTACTCCAAGGCTTCCTTTTCCAGTTGGCATCAAAACATCAGGTCTCCTGATACTCCTCCCTGAGCTGCTACTGGTTATTGCCTGTGAGTGAAGCAAACCAGAGACTCCTCCCAGTCCTCATGTTATCCTGGAGAGCTATTTTCGTTGCCACTTAGGGACTGTAGGAGTAGCACATGGTCTTGGCTTTGTGTTTTCTTTTGAACTGAAATAGGAACATCCCTCTGAATGGGGATGGTTTGCCTCTAGCTGAATTTTCCAGCCAAAATGCATGTTTAGAAGCTCACACAGGTTCATTCTTGTGACAGCAGTGCCTGGGGGTGGGTCCTATCTGAAAAGGGTTTTTAACTAAATTCTAGTTGACTTCTCTTTCTTGCTGTTGACAGGTTTTAGCTGATGGGTTGTGTCATGGTTGGAAACTGTTTCCCTTCAGGATAAGCTTGAGGGGTGTTTCTGTCTGGGACTTCTCTCTCCACCTCGTGATGTGACCTTTACTAATAAATATTAACTTCCGCAGCCAAGACCTAATCTTGGGCAGGTGGTAACTCACGTCCCTCCTAGAGCATTCACAAACGCTCTCAGTATTTCTCAGTGGAAGAGGCTCCTTTGTTTCTTGCCTCCCAAACATTCACATGGAGCCCAACACCTACTCCAGCAAGTCTTTTTTTCCCAGCAAGTTTCATGTATAATTTGGTCAGGAGGAAGATGTGGGATTATGGCAGGGATGTGTGCTTGTAGCATCTGTCTGCTTACGCCTTGCCTGGATGATTTATGGTTTTGGTTCCCAGCTGCTTTGCACACTGCATGTGAGACATTCCCCTCTGGAATTTTCCACAGGCAGAAATCTGCTTACAGTACAGTGTTTTAAACACAGCTTTGCATGCACTCACTTCATAGAATCTGAGAATGGTTTGGGTTGGAGGAACCTTAAAGATTATCCAGTTCCAATCCCCTGCCATCGGCAGGGACACCTCCCACCTCACCAGGTTGCTCTGAGCTCCATCCAGCCTGGATGGGTGTCAGCTTGTATTTGGCAGATTGGCTTTGTTCTCTCTGAAGATAAGGACTGTTTTCTTGTGAGCCCTTTGGTTCTCAACAACTTGTATTAGGAAGTATCAGTATATTCCAGAAACATCCTGAAGGGCTGCGAAGCCACAGCACAGGAGACAGGCTAAACCCCAAATCTGCTTCCTTGGCCTGTTGTGCTCTGAAATATGGGAATCTCTCAGGGATTGTTTTCTGCTCCAGCTGTTCCCAGCTGTGCTGGCTCTAGACTTTTACCCTCTGCTTTTCAAAGATCTTGCTTTCTCCATGTTGCTGTTCTCTAACATTTCCTTCCTGATCTCTTTCTCCATTAAAAACTCCACATGTAGCAGCAGCAGTGTTCCATCCAGTGTGCTGCTGCTGCTTTTCTGTGCAGCTCTTTTCCTTCCAGCCTCACACAGGGATGGGCAAGGATCCTGTTTCCATGTGAAGACCAGACCCCATTATTTTTTACTGCAGCTGGTACTCTGCTGTGTGGATATTTGGTTAGTGCCCAAGCTGCAACAGATATTTGTGTGATTTGCAATTCAAGCATGTTTCTATGTGCTGCCAGTCCAAACACAGGGGAAATCCAGAGTGAACCAGTCTGGAAGAGACATGTCATACTGAGAATATAAAACATTCTACTTACCTGTTGCTTTTGATGCTGATTCTTAATTTCCATCAACAAAAAATGATCTGTTGGTTTTTCCTTGTCAGTAACATAGGTGTTTGGGGAAGTGAGTCTTAAAATACATATTCTAAACTTAATTAATTGGACATCAGTGTGCATGAACTGCCTGACAATTATCTTGCAGATACCTGGCCTATCGCAACTTCATGATTGACACCTATCGCCTCAACCCTCAGGAGTACCTGACCAGCACTGCCTGCAGGAGAAACCTTACTGGGGATGTGTGTGCTGTCATGAGGTAAAAACTGTGGAGCTTTGGGCCAAGGAACTTTTGGCTCTGTGTCTTCGAACCTTGGGTCAGTGAGCACGGGGTCTTTCAACCACTGTCTCTGCATCAACAAGAAGAAATAGGAATGGAAGTGCTCCAGCATGGCAGCACAGGGTGGGCAGAAGCTCAGCAGTTCCCCACTGTTAATTGTAACCAGACTGCTGTACACTATTCCTCATATATAATGTTCTGTCTGATTACTGAGCCATGTCTGCACAGTTTGGATATTAACTTGGGTTTATTTGGGTTCTGCTGTTTAGTAACGCTAGAGTTTTTTGAGAAAATACAGTTTTGCACCTCAGTTTTGTCAGTCTGAAGGTGTGAGGTGCAGCAAAGCCCTAGGTATTCGGAAGTTGCTAATTGTCACAGAATCCCAGACTGGTTTGGGCTGGAAGGGACCTTAAAGGTCATTTAGTTCCACCCCCTGCCATGAGCAGGGGCACCTTCCACTAGACCAGGTTGCTTCAAGCCCTGTCCAACCTGGCCTGGAACAATTCCAGGGGTGGGGAGTCCGCAACAATGTTGGTTCAGTGAAGAGGCTATGAATGGACAAGGGAAGAAGTCAGTGGTTGTGCAGCCCTTGGAATCCTTACATTGTCTGTAAATGGTTCCACACATGCAGCCCTGGCTTTGCTCTGCCTTTGTTCTTAATTAATCCCGTGTTACCTGTGATAGATCATTCAGATTGGAAAAGACCTCCAAGGTCATTGAGTTCCACCTGTGACCCATCACCACCTTCTAGAACAAAGCACTCAGTGCCATGTCCAGTCCTTCCTTGAACACCTCCAGGGATGGTGACTCCACCACCTTCCTAGAGAGCAGCTTCCAATCCCTGACCACCCTTTCCAGGAAGAAATTCCTCCTGATGTCCAATCTGAACCTCCCCTGGCACATCTTGAGGCGTTTTCCTCTTGTCCTGCCCCTTGTTCCCTGGGAGCAGAGCCTGGTTGCACATCCTGTCAGGGAGTTGAAGCGAGCCAGAAGGTCACCCTGAGCCTCTGTTTCTCCAGGCTCAGCCCCACCCCAGCTCCCTCAGCCCCTCCTGGTGCTCCAGACCCTTCCCTGGACTTGCTTCAGCCCCTCAATGTTCTTCTTATCACCATGAGTGGCCCAGAACTGGACACAATATGTCAGATTTTGATCTGTGCAACATGCTGAAGTGCACTCAGGCCTGCACTGAGCTCCTGCTTTGTGACTTGTTTTGCTGTTTGTAATAGTGAAGGACTAGAGAAGCTTCTGGATCTGTGTTTGATCCAGAAACAACAGCTTCATCCTTGGTTGTCTCCAACACAGAGCATAATTGAAGCCTTAGTTCTGGAGATGTAATTTGTCACTCTCTTCTGCAGAGTCCATGCTTTTCTGGAGCAGTGGGGCCTCATTAACTACCAAGTGGATCCTGAAAGCCGCCCCATGGCCATGGGGCCACCCCCTACTCCTCACTTCAACGTGTTGGCTGATACCCCCTCCGGGCTGATGCCCCTCCACATCCGCACTCCGCAGGTGAGCCCTGCAGGTCTGAGTTTGCCTCGGCTCCATCCAGACTTGTTTAACATGTCAGCAGAGTGACTTGTGCCTAGTTTGATGAAATATCCCTATTTTTGACCAGCTGGGTTGAGCATTTTGTCATGGAATCCCTTGCACACATTGCTCACAGATTGGTTTTAAAGTCACTTCTGTGGACTTAATGTTCAACTTCTCTGTCCAGTCCATGTTGTGTTGAACATTGGTCTGGAAACCTTGAACAGCTTTCAATTCCTGCCCCTCTCACCTTGTAACGTTTGTTCTCAGGTTCCAGCTGCTCAGCAGATGTTGAGTTTTCCTGAGAAAAACAAGGAGAAGCCAACTGACCTGCAGAACTTTGGGCTTCGCACGGACATTTACTCCAAAAAGACTTTAGCCAAGGCAAGTGTGTTGCTACACTTTCTGGTGAGCTTTATTCCTCCAGTGTTGCCTGCACAGTGACACTGAGGTGACTTGCGTTACTCTTAGGCTTCTACTTTAGATTTCTTCCGTCCCAGTGAGGACACTAAGGTGGTTGTGTTGGAATTCTTAATTTGTAGGAATAAAGACATGTAGAAATTCCCAGACCAGTCAGGACTGTCAGCTTTCAGACCCAAACTCATTGTGTTCCTGGATAGTCTGCTGAATGGTTCAGAATCATCAAATCCATCCAACAATTCACTACAGAATCCGAGATCTTCCAGCAGGATCTTTGTCCTGTTTTCCCAGTATGAGCAGTGTTTTCCAGCCTGAGAACTGCTAAGTTCCTCGATTACAGAAGGTTTCCCCAAACCATTGCAGGGAATGTTTTGACACTGTCATTGCGATGTGTTGCACAGGATAATTGAAGTTTTGAGACATCATTGCACTGATGTGGTAATTCCATAACCTCCTGCCTTTCTCCTGCTCCTGATCCCTGTGTGTGTGCCTGGAGGTGCTGCAGGAATCCCTTGTTACCACAGCACAGCCTTGAGTTTGGGAGTCTCCAGAATGGTTGGGCTGAATCAGGCTAATTCTGTGTAATTAGTTCATTGTCCTAAGAGATCATTATTTAAACCCAAGAAATAAGTATTTATACGTTATTATTATTTACTCTATTTATATACTATTTATCACTTCAGAGAATTATTTAAAACCCAAGAACCCAAAACAGTAGTTCTGGAGATCAGTGTTTTATTACAAAACCTGATTCCACCTCACATTTCATGGACTGACTTTCTTACTTAGTTTAGGGTATTATAAATAATCTCCAAACTGATGAGTCGTTGGTTCTGAACTCTGGTTCTGTTTGCAAGATCCGTGCCAGTGAACTGGAGCAGATTTGTTGGCAGACACTGATCTGCCTGTCTGGTTTGTGTGTGGCTGTTGGGTGTTTGGCTGTTGCTAACAGCCTGTTGGGGAGCTGATCAGCCGCTGGTGACTCATGTTGATTAATGCTCTGTTTGGGTTGATCATCTGTTTGAAATGCATCTTGAAATGACAGTTATTATCCTAAATACCCATTTCCTTTTGCTGTGCTCTAGCACAGAGCCATCCAATGTAGGTGATGTTCTGTATGGGCAAGTGACATGCTGGTGTTGTCCTTACTTGACATGTGATGGGTCAGGGGATCACAGAAGGGGAAGTTTTCGCCATCAATTTTGTCACTTCTAGCTAATCTCAGGAGTTTTATCTGTAAATCTATACTGGGAGGTATAGATTTAGGAGCAATAGTCCTTGGTGGAAGTGGATGCTGGATGTACAGATTATCTTGCTGGATCTGCCTTTTCACACAATCCCAGAATCATTCAGGTTGGAAAAGAACTCCAAGGTCATCAAGTCCAACCTGTGACCCATCACCACCTTGTTAAGCAGACCAAAGCACTAGTGCCATGACCAGTCATTCCTTGAACACCTCCAGGGATGGTGGCTACACTTTTCACATAGCCTGTCCCTCTTGTAAAGATTTATTTTGTTACTGAGTTACTTATAAACTTGGAGATAGATTAGCTGGTTTTGGACCAGCACGTGCCATACACAGCCCACTCTGCCTTCAGCACTCATCAGGGGGTTTATTATTTAGGGAAACCCTGCTCTCTGTTTGCTGTTTGTACATCAGAGAAGGCTGGGAGAAAAGGGTACCAAATCACTTTGCTTTAGCTTGGAATAACAAGAGTTGCAGGTTCCAGACATGTTGGGGAGTTGGGAGCAGTAGCTCCCAGCCTGAGCCTTTACTATGTAGTAAATCACATGAACTGCTTGAGGTAACCAGGGGCTGGTTAGCTGGAGTAGGGAGTGGATTAAATAATAGATTCTTCCCCCTTTCCCTTCGATGTTTTCTTCTCAAAGGTGCTGTGCAGAAAGTCCTTTATTTCACTTATTTTTCCCTCCTGTCTCTTGTAGAGCAAAGGCGCAAGTGCTGGAAGAGAATGGACAGAGCAGGAAACACTGCTGCTGTTAGAAGTAAGTTCATGAGGGGGAAACCAAAACTTGCAGGCTATTACAAGCTTTAAAAATCCACACATAGATTGGTGTATCTTTGGGAGTTAGATGGCAACTGCCATAATGGCTACAAGAATATTACTTCTTCAAAGAGATGTGAGAGAGAGGCTTCAGGCACTAAAGTAAAGATTTGGTTCCAGCTTGTATCTGCAAGCCAGAAATTAAGTATGTAAGAACTTTGCATGAAGTCCACAACAGGTTTTGAAGTACCTTGAGGTGTTTTCATTCAACAGAAGTTGCCAACAATGTGAAGCAATGGTAAGTAATTCAAATAACGGTAAATAATTCAAGGAATGGTTTCCCTACCACTAACATAAATACTCTGATATTCTGACAGTCTTTACAGTCCCTGACTGTGCCATAGATTTTCTGGAAAACCAGCTGATATTTGAGGTTTAAATGGTTAAGAAACAGTTGAGGCCATTTCTTGGCTCCTGCCGCTAAGAGAAGCTCTTTGGTAGCTCTTCTATCCCTTACAGCTCCTCATTCCTTTTGCCACGTAGCTGTACTCGGTGTTCTTTGAGCTTTTCCTGGAAGTCTACAAGAAATATCCTTGGGATGGCTTCAATCAGGTGCCTTAAAATGAGCTCAAAGAGCTGCAGCAGGTTTTTGTCCCCAGGTTGCTTCATCTAATGCTCTTGAACCACCTGGTGATTGTCAGATCTCTAGCGATTCCAAGTCCAGGATGAGAACTGTCACGAGGTGCCCTGTAGAAGTGTGTTCTGTCTCTCAGAGTGACATCAGGGCAAGGTTGTTTTTCTGTGTTTCATCAGAAGAAGAATCTCAGTGGCCTGAAATAATTTAAAGTGCTGCCACTTCCTGTAAAGAAACGATCATCTCCCAGCTGTGCTCTTACAGGAACATTTCCTCGATACAGAGGCTGCAAGGCTGATTTATTTCCTTTTATGTAATTCAGGGTTCTCAGAATTCCAGTTTGAGGTTCTTTTTGTGTTTGCTTTGCTTGGAGAGCTTAAAGGAGGCTGCAATCGCCTGATTGTTCTGCCTTTTTTGTGTGTGTTTCCATGTGCCAATAAACCCATTGATCCTTAATTTGGTAAGGAAAAGCCTGGAGAATGGACCTGGATGGTGCTGAGCAACACTCAGCTCCTGTGTGAGTGCCAAGTCAGCAGCGTGATGTGATTCAGCCTGTGTAGATACAGAGTCTTGTCAGCAAGCAGCCAAAATATCAATTTTTTTTCTGTTTATTTTAGGTTGATATTCACTGTTGAGCCAATATTTTTCTACTGGCATGTGGAAAAATTGTGCTTACGGGGTGTAAGCAGCTAAGATATCTTCCATGGCATTCTTGTAGGGAGAAACAGGACTGATATCTTGCTATTCTGTCTTCTTTCCTTTGCTATATATTATTTAACTTGATAATATTGATAGTGTTATTATTTTAAATTAATTGGTGTATGTTTTTAACTTAGTCACACACGACAAGTTGTAGCCTAATGAAATAATCCAGTGGCATATTCTTTGTTTAAAACAAAAAACCCTGAATGTTGAGATTGTGATTTTATTTAATGAGTTCAAATTAATAATGATTTTATTCCTCATTTTTTGTGGATTTGCCCTATGAATAAATCAGTGAAGAGTATATCAGTTCAAGCATAAGTAATTCAGCTGTAACAAGCCAGCTCAGTCCAATTAAGTCCTCAGGGTAGCTTTGGGCAAATAGATATGCAGTGAAGTTCCAAATAATAAATCATATCTAAAATAATTATTGTCCTTCTGCCTGTTGAGTGAATAAATTGAGGCAGGAAATACTATTTTCCTCCCTGAAACATCCTCCCTGCCATGCTACCTCTCCACAGAGCACTGTTCTTGCAGAGTTAAGTGCATTTTCAGCTATTTTTAGGCAGGACAGCTATTGTGAGAGAGGCTTTGTCTGGCAGGAAGATCAGCAGTGAAAGGAGAAGGAGCAGAAACCAAACCCCTGTGTGGCTGTGAGAAGCTGAGCTGATCTCACGTGCCAGTGTGAGTAAAAATGGAGACAGTGACATAGAACTTGCAGAGATGAAATTAGGGAAAGGGAAATGAAGGCTGAATGGTGAATAAGTATTCCCCTCCAATATGCCCTACTGAACTGAGCAGTTTCTCATTTATTTAAACACTTGGAAGATCAGAGGGAGGGCAGGACAAGGGTTCATGGGTAATTGGGACCAGTAGGGACCAGGCTGTCCAATGTAGTCTGTTCTTGGTTCATTCCCAAGCCTAATTGTTCTTTCCATGGAGCTTTCAGCCTTCTTCATGTCAGGCTCATGGTCTTCAGCAGCTCCTGAATGTTCTTCCCAGCCAGCTCCACTGGAGCAGTGCTCCCACAGGACTTCCCTGCTTCGTCTTCCACCCAGGGAAGGAACAGGGAACCAGTGGTTTTCTGGAGATACACTGAGGGGTTTCCCTCCTTCTTGGGGTTTTTTCCTCCTTCCTGGGGGTTTTACCTCCTTCCCACCCAATTTAAGCAGTGACACCAGGCTGTGAGAAAGAAACTTCAGCCAGGTAAAGCTTAAATCGCTTTTGGATCTGAGGCTGAAAAGTGTCACATGCTGAGGCACTTTTTTTTCTCCAGTTTGTTCTGTGCCTGTTGGATCTTTAATGCTTCTGGATTTATTTCATCTGTCTTTGTAGTCAGGCTGCTTTCACATCTTTGCAAGCTGAGGAGCATTTTCCTGACCTCAGCTGACCCTCTACATCCATAATGTGCCTGAGGGTCCTGTTCAGGTCAATACTTTGTCCTTGAAGAATTCTCAGAGCTTATGTTTCAGCTGAAA